AGCAACCAGTATCTACAGACCTCCAGAGGGAGGAGCAATGATTTTTGTCTATGCCAGTGTGGGAAGGCTCATTTAGGAGGTGACATTGTGTGTGTGTGTGTGTATTATATCTATAAACACCATATATATATATGGTGGTTTCCAAGGTTGGGAAAATCTCTACAACTGTTCAATATCTGTAACAGCATAATAGGGGTTGTATTTTAATTTTATTTTAAATCCAAGGTATCTATGTCTTCTCACCTTAGTGAATCAGCATGAGATGCTGCAATACTGCTGACCTGTAGATTAGGATGCTATCATGCTTCAGGATGCTTAACTAGTGGGGTGCAATTATGCTTACTCAGGCATTTGTAACTGATTAAAGCTTTATTTCCAGAGCCTACCCATTGTTTCTGAAGTAATTTGTGCATGATTATGGAAGTTACTGTGTTACCTATTTATGCTAACTTTAACAAATTCTGTACTAAATTACTGTGTTGTTGGGTTATTAAGAAGGGTTTGCCTTATATGGCCATAGTTCTCTATGCGACCAGATGGCTGTTTCTTTTTTTTTTTTCATTTTTAAAGAGAACACAATAAAAGGCATGTTCACCTACTACTATGTAGCTCAGGGTGTAGGTGGGTCTGAGTTAATAAGGGAAGGCTTACTGGAAGAAGCAGATTTTATTCTGAATCTTAAAACATGAGAATGAAAGATGGAAAGCTTAGGCAGATCCGGGCATGGGAAAGAGGTTAATAAAAAGAATCTGAAGTGGAAATGGAGGCCCCTGTCAGCTTTAGACTGTATTGTGCCGTATATCCACTCTGTCCAAAAATATCTCCATCATGGGGACTTTCAACGTTCTAGTTTTTCCTTTGACAATCTAGGATGAGTGATGCTTTAGGTCAAAGATCAGCAAACTTTTCTTTTGTAAAGGGCCAGAGGGTTAATATTGTAGGCCTCGTGAGTCATATGGTGTCTATTGCAACTATATGACTCTGCTGTATGCTCTGCTGCGGCATGGAAACAGCCATGGATGATACAATAAATGAATGGTGGGCTGTGTCCCAATAAAACTTTATTTACAAAAACAGATGGTGGGCCGGATTTGGCCTATGGGCCATAGTTTGCTGACCCCTGCTTTAGGTAATTGTTTCCTGAACTTCAGTCCTTTTAGAATGACTTATTATATTGTTTAATCTGAGTAGCATCTGCAATATTGTTTACTTAATTTTCCCCTTAAACTGATTTACTTTTTTTTTTTTTTTTTTTTTAAAAAAACCAACAACTTAAGTTTAATTTATAAGGAGCTCTCTATCACTGTCATGGAAAAGCAGTATTATATGTTCTTAATAAGGAATCACCAAAAAATAAACATAATAAAAACAAAATGATGATTGTATGCACACCACAAGATAGCTTACAATTTGTCTCTTAGATCTGAGTACTGCTTACTTAGAAGTCTTAAAAGAATGTTGACAGGTATGCATCATGGAGGCAGTGGCTGAGGAGGGACTCGCAGCAGGGGCTGTTGCATGGAAGACCAGGGCTCCTCTGGGCTAGAGTTGTTGGATCAAATGTAAACTGTTGGTCCGGCACGGTGGCTCACGCCTGTAATCCCAGCACTTTGGGAGGCTGAGGCGGGCAGATCATGAGGTCAGGAGATCAAGACCATCCTGGCTAACACGGCGAAACCCCGTCTCTACTAAAAATGCAAAAAAATTAGCCAGGCGTGGTGGCAGGTGCCTGTGGGTCCCAGCTACTCGGGAGACTGAGGCGGACAATGGAGTGAATCTGGGAGGTGGAGCTTGCAGTGAGCCAAGATCGCGCCACTGCACTCCAGCCTGGGCGACAGAGTGAGACTCCATCTCAAAAAAAAAAAAAAAAAAAAAGTAAACTGTTCATTAAACTTGAAGATAAACAATAAATAATGTTTTGATTTAAGTATATCCCATGCAATATTTGTGACATACTCATGTTAAAAAATTATTTTCTGTTTATCTGAAATTCAAATGCAACTGGAGGTCTCATCTTATTTTTTTGTTTTTTCTAAATCTAGTGTTATGATCTGAATGTGCATGTCCCTCCAAAATGTATATGTTGAAACCTGAATTCCCAATGCAATAGTGTTAGAAGATGGGGCCTTTGGGAGGTGATTAGATCATGAGGGCTCTGCCCTCAAGAATGGAATTAGTGACCTTATGAAAGAGGCTTGAGGGAACCCTTTTAACATTTTCTGCCATATGAGGACATGTAGAAGGAACCATCTATGAGGAACAGACCCTCACCAGACACCATATCTGCTGGTGCTTTGATCTTGGACTTCCCAGGCTCTAGAACTGTGAGCAATACATTTCTGTTGTTTATGAGTTACCCAGTCTAAGACTTTTTGTTATAGCAACCCAAGCAGACCAAGACATCTGGGAACCCTACCCTGGTTCAACAGCAAGAATCAGTTCGAGAATATGCCAAGTGGTAGGGGAGGACTGGCTTGTGTGGAAAGTGTGGGCTGGGAAGCATCAACTTGGCCTGCTTAAAATTTAGTCTAGGGTGGATCTCAGCAGGGGACAGTGAGTAAGTCAACCAGGAGGTATGGATCAGAAATTAAGAAAGACTTTTGTGACTTGGAATCCCAGCCAGGAGGGTGGACATGATCCATTCTGCATTAAAAACCCACTAGAGAGTTATAAAAAGGGACATACGATTGGACAGACACTAATCTTTCAAAGAACCAGAGTGTTAGCCTATTTATGTAGCTATATCATGCCTTCAGTGCGCTGGAAAAATAATCAAAGGAGAATTTAGAACTGTTCTCGGATTGTCAGTTTTTCATCTAAAAATGTTAATGTACATTAAACTTTTAATTAAAAAAAGCACATCCCATCACAAACTATTTTTAATATGGAATACTTAGCAGCGGTGCACACTTTCTGTTTTGAGATTTACCAGGCTATTAACCAGAATAATTTGGGTTTAAAATGAACTGAATTAGGCTGTGTATACCCACGTTAAGTCTCAAACAAATTACATTATTTAAGCTGTCATCTGTACAAGGTGCTTACGTGTTTTTGATTGTTCTATGCAGGATACAGTTGCAGTCCAGTTATAAGTGTCTGATGGCATCAGAAATGTCAGCAACTGACAGATCTGTTTATGGAAAAGAGAAAAGAGGAATCTCATTACAGGCTCTTTAGAGCCCATTTTTCACTTTCCTTTTTGTTTGAAAATAATCTAATCTATATAATTGCATGCCTTGAAGACTTTAAAAGACAGAAGGTTGCCTGGATTTAGACTCAATATTTGTGCTAGTTTGTGAGTTTGTATGAGGATGCATTTGGACATGAAAACCTAAAGTTGGCAGGAATTTTTCTATCCTCTTTTGTCTCTTCTGGGTGATTTGGATGTGATTATAATCAGGAAATAGTTTGAATGTGATAGAACCCTGATGATTCCTAATTCTGGCCGTCATGTGCACCAGCCACTTCTGTTTCTCTCTGGAAAGAATTGAAGAGTCAGCAGATAAAAGTTGCTTTTTCAGACTGAGAATGAGTGCTCCCCTAGCTCACCTGGCCGCTAGGTGGCACTGCAGCCATAAGGAAGTGTGGTCATAGTTACATAGTTCGGCTGTGTCATTAAGGTAAATTCTCCAAGGCTGAAATTGGGCGAGGGCAGCCTTTACATCTCTGTGTTTTTCGGGATTATGGGGTTCTTTGGATTTTATTGCATACTTCGTGATCTAGGATGCTGCTAAAGGGAAGGGGATTATTCGTTTAGGGTGTGATGTTTCCTGGGTTTGTGTTGTTGCATAAGACACACACACACACACACACACACACACACACACACACACTTGAAGGTTTGTTAAGAATTGTGTTGGTCAGGGAGTGGGAAGTGAAGGGCAATATCACACTTGTGTGGTTTCTGAGCAGAATGGTCTGTTCCAACTGAGCAACAGATGGCGTCCTGACCTGTGTGCCTTTTTCTTTGGTGTTCCTCTGCTGGAAATGTTCTCAGTAGAGACGACCAAAATTCTGGAAGATGGTAAGTGTCATAGCATCTCTCTTTGTGCCAGCCTCCTCTTCTGCTTCTTTTCCCTCTGTTTTTAACCACTAAGGAAAAAATCATTGTCCAAAAGTATTTTTTTGTTGTTGTTGTTTTTCCTTTTTGAATAGAAGCTAAGTATTTGAAACCTAGACACCTTACTATTGTCCCAAAGAAGAAAAGAAACCAACAAAGAATCCACTAAGAGTGTCAAAGAGTGAAAATGGAATAGCAGCTACACAAGTTGCTCTGAAAATAACAAGAATTCTGGCAGATGATTAGCAAAAATATTTCCTAAATAGTGAGAGATGAGGAATTGACTGAAATTGAGGTGTGCCTGGTGAAATTAAATTTGCTGTCGAGTGACTTGAAGAGAAATGTGCAGAGGGTATGTTGGTGATTAAATCAGCATACAATGGGATTCATAATGAAAATGGTAATAGCTATGTTTGTAGAGGTCCTGCTATGTTCCAGGCATTTTTGTATAAGCACTTAAATCTTTAGAATCGATCTATGAAATGGGTATGATCAAACTATTTGGCACATAAATAAATGGCAGCATAGCTAGGTGCATACCTGGCCTGGGTTCTAACACCTTTAAAAGCTCTAATTAGAATTAGGTCTGTTAGAGTCTAACACCTGTGTCTCGGTGTTTAGGAAATGACTTGATAATGGAACATAAAGGCAAAGAGAATGTCTGTGTTGCTTCTCATTGCATCTCCAGGACCTGCCACAGTGCTTGGCTGGCTCATGTAGGACTTCAGTGTACATTTGTTCTACCAATAGATAAATGCCAGAGAGCTGGAAGATTCCATGGTATTTAATTAGAACACTAGTTAACCCTTGATGTAGCGAATGTAATAACAGCTTTAGATGTGGATGGCCCTCTGCTGCTTAGAAGAAGTGGAATACACTTTATTTCAGTTCACTTAGCCTCAGATGCCAAGTTCTCTGGGGTGGGGAATATCATTGAATTTTACAAAACAAAGAAGCTGGAACTCTGGAGTTAAGGAAGCTTCCCGTGGTGGCTGTACTTGCTGAGTTCAGGTTTTCTCACTGTAGATTTAAGGGGTTTTAAGGCAGCTCCAAGTTCACAAATACCCACACAATTTTTTATTAATTAAAATTACATATCATGAATAATATTCCTATTATTTTTATGTATATATAATAAATATTCTTACAGAAAAAAACAAAATAAATAGTCTGATGGTGGAGGGTTAGTATCATAGCCATATAGAAGCCATTTCACTTTAAAAAGTATGTTTTTGAACTTTTACCTGTAATTTTTATTCGAAAAAAATTAGAAGGTACAGATGAGCAAAATGAAATATGAAACCATTCATCATTTCCTTTTAGAAATTTATATCATCTATAATTTTTCTATGCATATATGTTATACAAAAGATTATGTTTTATAATTTGCTTCTGAACTCAGTATAATGTATACATCTTTATGTGTCGACAAATTATTTCTACATTGTAACTTTTAATGGCTGCAAAGTGACCTGCTAGATGAACATATCAGTTTATTTAACCACAATTCCTTGTTGCTGGTCATTCGGGTTGTTTCTAGACTTTTGCTATAATAAAGCAAACATCCTTGAATACGTATCTTTGTGCAATTAATCTTGACCCATTGTTTTATAGGGGAATTTACATACACTCAGAGAGGTTATGAAATTTACTTGCTAGGCAGAACTTGGACCAGATTTCAGGGCTCTTAAATCACTGATGACTCTTTTTCTGCTCCATCAGTGAGGTCACAGAACCTATCTGGTGGCTGTGGCCATTTCTTCCCAGGGAAGGGAAGGGATTCTTGGCATGTGCTGGGAGTCGTTCCTCAACAGAACTGAGTTACCCCTACAAAAGAAAAGTCAAGTTTAAGAAAAACAAACCGGATAAGGTGATTTTACTGCTTTAATACTGTTAATAGAACTCCTTCTTTAAACTGTTTTCTTCCTTTTCATCTGTAACTTTACATTCCATTTCCTCCCTGCTTCTCTGATCTTCCTTTCTTCTTCCACTTCCTCCCTAGCTCTCTTCCACCCCTCCTTGCTTTCCTGCCAATTGTCACTGTTACTTGAGTTCCTATTCCCAAATTTCTCCTTTTTCCACTCTTTCCTTATTTTATTCTTTTTTTTTTTTTTGAGACGGAGTCTCGCTGTGTTGCCCAGGCTGGAATGCAATGATGTGGTCTTGGCTCACTGCAACCTCCGCCTCCTGGTTTAAGCGAGTCTCTTGCCTCAGCCTCCCGAGTAGCTGGGATTACAACTGCACACCACCACATCCGGCTAATTTTTGTGTTTTTAGTAGAGACAGGGTTTGGCCATGTTGGCCAGGCTGGTCTCAAATTCCTCACCTCAGGTGATCCATCTGCCTCAGCCTCCCAGAGTGCTGGGATTACAGGCGTGAGCCACTGTGCCCAGCTATGTTTCCCTATTTGTAATGGCTTCATCTACCACTTCCAGACACATGACTCCCAAATCTGAAACTTCAATCCTGATGCCTCTCCCATGGGCCAGTTCCATGCTTCCTATCAATTGTTAGATATTTGCATTCCTGGGCCCAGGACTTCTAATTAAAGCCTCTCATTCCCAGAGCCAGAGTCTTGAGTCACCTGATCCCTTCGCCTAGTCTCACACATCTTGCCAAGTGCAGTCAGGTCTTTGTCTCTGGCCCTCAGCCCTTCTCTCCCATTCCCACTGCCTATG